GTTAGTACGTTGGTCTTGGTCGTATTTCAATGCCGTGCCGATATAAGGATGCGTCGCAAAGACACGACCGGCCGTCTTGTTTCTGGGGGACCAGCAATCAGCACCCGGCATGATTCTGCTGAGCAGCTTTGCGGACTATGCCCTGCTTGTCGTTGAATGTAACCGCCTCCATCGTCCGTGAGATCGTTTGATTGTCTGAACCACATCAGATGGATGTTCTCCAATAATTGTGGGAATGCCGGTTAACGGTTGGTTTCGATGCCACTTCAGGGTGATATATGTTTTGCCTTCGTACACTACTTCACAGACGTCTTGGCCGGATATCCAACACAATATCGCCAGCTAATACTACCGTCGTTATCCAGGAACAGAGTCTTAAGCACCTTCTGACACCACAAAAGAGTCACAGAAGGCATGGTGTTGATACAAGACAGGCCGAGCACGCAACGCAGTCCGAGCTTGTACAGATAGGTATCATTTTGTGAAAACCATTGTCCCCCGGAGATATACAAGAAAAATAAAAAGATGTCATCTCACTACCTCGAGTTGGCGTCGGCCCGTGCAGCAATCGTCTTCGTGTCGTCGGGCATGCGCGTGATGCACAGTGCTCGGCAGAACTCGCCCAGCTCGCCGCTCGTGGCCTCCTTGACGGCCTCCTGCAGGTCCTTGCCGTAGTGCTCGCGATACGCCTGCTTGACGAGCGCCATGTGCGCGCCGTCCCAGTGGTAGCGCACGAGGCGCGAGATGAGCAGCTCGCGTCGCAGGCCGTCGCGCTTGGAGGCCGTCAGCGCGTGGTGCAGCAGCATGGCGTCGCGGACGGGCTTGTTGATCACGCCGTTGAGGATGTGTGTCAGCACCTCGCCCTGCAGGATTTGGTTTCGTTCAAGTTAGCATGCTGGCAGAGAGGAAACGGAAGAGGGGGTTGCGAGATGGTAGACGTACGACCAGGTTGCCGCTCTTCTTTAGCGCGTCCTTTGCGAAGTTTGCTCCCCTGTACGTTTCCTTGTATATCCGTAGCACCTCGCGCAGGTGGCTGTCGCTGCGCTGGATGACGATGGAGATCATGAGGCTCTCGCCGCCCTTTTCGCTGCGCACGGCATGGTGCAGCTGCTTGACGTCGTCGGCGACGAGTTCGTAGTCGATGCGGAGCGGGCGGCCGTAACCATCGCGCTCCTCCATGCGCGCCTCGTCGAGCACCATCAGCACGGCCTTCTTGAACTTGTCCTCCTTCAGCTCCGTCTTCATGCACCGCGAAAGGCTGTCGCCGTACTTCTTGTCGGAGAACCCGTTGCGGATCGCGCGAATCTCATCATTCGTGCGGCCCATCAACGACTCGATCAGCAACTCTCGCCGCGTTTTGTCGCCGTGATACCAAAAATTTGCCCAGTAAGCCTCCGACTCCCACCGTCCCAGCGCCGTCGCGTAGCACGCCTTCATCAGGTTCGGGTCTTCGTCCTTGAGCCGTGCGCGGATGTGTTTGGCGATGTTGACGCCCTTGCGCTCGGTCCCTGTCTTTACGAGGCGCTTGTATTCGACGCGTAGCTCCATGACCTGTTCGTGGGTGAGTCCGGGCAGGATCTCGATCAGGGGCTCTGTTTCTGGCGCCCGCTTCTCGCCCTTGAGCGCCTTGGCGAGTCGCGCGGCATCGTCGACGGGATCGTGGAAGCGGGCGCGCCGCGAGCGCTTCTTGTCGCTGGACCGCTCGTCGTCGGAGCCGATAGGCGAGAACACGTCGAGAATCTGTAGGGAACCGCTGCCTTGGCTGGGGAGGAGCATGGGGGATGGCATGGGTGACATGGACTGATAAGTTCCGTGATATGACTCCAGGAGTGGTGACCCTGGGGCAGAAGCGAGCGATAGAGAGGCGGTATGATGGCCGGTCTGGAGAGTGAGGCTCGACATGCGGCCGACGGGGGGCAGGGGGGATGTTCCGCGCTTCATGGCCGATTTTCTCGGTGCCGCGCCGCCGGGCTCAACCGTCAACACGCTCGCAGAGGTGCGTGGGTCGCTGGAATAGGGGTTTGGAGACCGCCGCGGCGGGCCGGGACTGGGAGAGCGTCCTCCGGGGCGTCCCGGAGCACTCAGACCCGCTGCCGCGCCGCCATATGTGAGTTGCTCTTCTGGCCTGGCGTACTCCCATGGCTTGGGCTGGGCGTAGCCGCCATATGCAGACGGCGGAGACGCTGGCCGCGAGCTCTTAGACGGCCCAGGGATGCTCCCGTAGGCCAGGTCGTCGTCGTACTTGCTCTTGCGACGTTCCTTTTCGCGCTCCTTGCGCTCGCGATCCGACTCCTTGAGCGACTCTCGCGACTGGCGCGCCGACTCCCCCGGCGGCTCAGCTGTCTTGATCTGGGCGGCATACTTCTGCGGCAGGAACATGGCCACTCGTTGCCTGGCCTGTTCCCTCTCTCGGTCCGAGTCTCTGTCCCGCTCCTTTTCTGCGCGACGTGGATCGCCGCCGTACCGAGGGGGCTCAGCCGGCGGTTTGTCGCGTGACCCGCGATAGTAGGCATCGTCCGAGTCCGAGCCCGAGTCCGAGCGGGCGGGCGCTGCAGGGGTTGGCCATTTCGGCACGCGCTCATACTCGTAGGAAGCCGGTGCCGGGTCACGGAATGCTCCGGTGGAGCTCGGGTACGGCACGGCGTCAACAATGTCCGGCCGGGTGCGGCTCCGGTCGCGATCATCGCGGCCCCCGGGAGAGCGGGACCGCCCGCGCCGGCCGCGGTCGTCAATTTGCAGGGACATTCCAGGTTCCGCTACCCTGAGCAAGAGTGCGGGGTATCAAGTGATGGATGTCCGAGCTCACTGGGGATAAGCCAGGGGTTGCTTGTTAAAGAAGGGGTCGGTTAGGGTATATAAAGTGCCAAGTAAACAAATGCGGCTCTCTGATTCTGTGCACTGCGACGAGGAGAGAGGGGAAAACCAGTTCAACCGGATGTGAATCCGCTGACAAGACGCGGTCTTGAGAGAGCTGACCTGGGAAAAGAGAGCTGGTATCTGGAAGGAGTAGCAGAAAGAAAGGGGGAAGAGGCTGAGAAAAGGAGGGGTTGGAGGAGCTGGTCGGACGGGTTAGTGCGGCTGCGTTCGATGCAATGCATCCATCCCTGGGGTCTCTATTTTCTGCAAGCCATGAAACGCCAACGCTGAGACCCGCAGCGCCAGTCTGACCTTCTGGAGATCTTTCTCGTGGAACAGACCAATGGGAGACTTGCGTAGGATCGCCAGGGACCCGGGTCACGTTGCAGACTGGTGCATGTCAGAGGCTGACTGACCATGCACACGCGCACTGCAATCTCAACCCTGCATCATCTTTACGGGCTACTGGATTCAAGTGTAAGTCGCCCAGCGCTGACTACACATGTCGACTTTGGCCTACGATTGATCAGGCTACGACGGCGAGTCAGACGATGATAGCGCAAGGGGATGTCAGGAAAGCGGATCGCATTCTGTGATCTGGAAATATTTTCCGTATCCGCAGCCCTGAAGAGTGAGCCCATCCATTCCCTAGCGCGATCTTGGGTCGTTCTTCCGCTTGGCATGATTGCCGTTCGAGGTGGGGGGGACGGGTGGAGAATGTTGCGTTGGGTACCGGCGATGAGAATCACTCGCCTTCTTCTCAATGGTGGCAAGAGTGGCACAATAACAGCCTGGTTCAACCGTCCAATACCGCGACTGCGACGCGGTGGCCAAAAGCACATGACTTTTGATTTGGCCGGAAACCGCGGCATGCCTCTCCTTTCTGCCCGCTGGACGAGTATCGGGTTGAAGTCGAGGAGTGTTGTCAGCCTGGCCACTTTCTTCTCGTCGCCGCCAATTCTCAGGTTGAGAAGGTATCCGCCATGTCGTAGAGTGTTGTTATTGTCCAACATACATCAATGATGTTTTAGTCGGCATTCTCTCGTACCTCAGATTAGTTCGCGTGGCGGTAAAGCTGGAAGATAACAATATTCGGTCTTTGGCAGGACAACCAATGAGCGAAGAACTCATGAGTGTTTCGGTCACCTCGACGCCATCAGACCGCGGCACCGCTTTGAGCACGGAGTTTGACGGCGCATAGGCTTCGGAGATGGAGTCGAAGTGGTGCTCTTGGCGACACACATACTTGTCGTGGTGTCAGTTCGCGATGATCAATCTCCGGGATGAGTCTTGACGTTCAGTTTGGCTCAGGGGTAGCAGCTGTCGTCGTCGTTGCTCGACCATCTCGAGACGGGGACTCACTCTGTCTAGTCTATGCTCGCACGTAGCAATCTCCCACGTAAATAGTATGATGTTGGCAATGGGTTCTCTCTGCTTCGTATTCTTTTTGGGTGAATAAACCAACTGTTGCATGGCGGCTGGAACTCTCCGACACGGACTTCGAGGGATGCGCGATCGCATATGGCTGCACCCAGACGATCGACACGCAGCTGGTTTATAGTAGATGTGGGCAAACGGCGCTGGTATTTGTACCTGATGAGACACCTTACTACAGTACACCTCATAGCAGTCGTCTTCTGTCTGGCAGGTGCCATATCTCAGCAAGCCAGGCCTAGGTACATAAGGTACCTGGTACGTACACGTGTACACGCGTAAGGTGACGAGGTGACAAGGTGAGGAAGGCGCCTCATCCTTTCCTTCCCGCTGCAGGGACCCGCGCGGTCTCAAGCTCCAAGGAAGGCATGAGAGGTCGCAGGCGATACCTCATCCACCAACCCGCCCGGAAGCCACCAGGTCCAAATGAGCATGTGACAAACAAAGTTTAGATGAACGATGGAACCTGGAAGAGATTGGACGTTGAACGCTTGAACGTTGGGAGCCGCCATGTACCTACCTACCCAGCCCTCAAGGTTCTCTCCCTCGTACCTTCCTCCGTCTCAAGTACCTAAGCCCGTCTCGTCCTTGCTTCCCGTCTGCGGTAGGAGGAATGAACGAGCTGCGTGTACATAGCCAAGGTTAGCGGGGAGGTGTGCAACAACAAAGAAGCAGAACCCAAAACTGTCCATTTGGCGCAGTGGTATACAGCCCTCGTAGAAAAATGGTAATTCGCCAGACTCCTAATCTGGAGATTGCGGTAGGTCTCTCTCCCCTTGTTCCCTTCCCTTCACTCTAGCTGACCGAATCCAGGGTTCGAGTCCCGTCGGGGGTGGTTCTTTACACATTTTTTTTGTTTTCTTTTTTGACACTGTACTTTGGTTCTGTTTGTTCGAGTCCGTGCTCTTTGCTTTTTATCACTTGTTGTATCGTTCTTTCCATGCCTTGCATAAGGTACCTCCTACCTAGCCTTCATTCCTTGTCCTCGCTTTGTTGCTCCACGATGTCCAACTTACATACGGTGCAGCTAGTATGCAAGCCCGCAGCGCAACAGCATGAAACGATAAAGGTACGACTGCACGGAGCAAGTTTGAAGTATCTAGAGGGCGAAAGCTCATGTTTCTGCAGAACGAGCCATCTTATTCCCCGTACGAGGTACTTCTGATTTGAGAGTATGTACGATAGAGGCCCCAGCATCTATATCCGGACAGTATATAGTAGTTATGATCAACACCACGAAAAGCATCTTACAAATCCTTTTTCTCCTCCTTAGCTGCAGTTCCCTTAGCTTTCACAGAGCCAGGTGGTGTCTTGAGCCCAAACAGGACAAGCAGGCCAACTGACGCAATGCCGAAAGCACCCATACCATACGCGACTTCTCTACCAGCCCACCAGTATACACTGGTGAAGAGAACCGGGCCGAGACCTCTCCCAAGCTGTCCATAGCTTCGGAGGATGCCCAACTTTCCGCCGCGCTCCCCCTCATTCGCCTCGAAGCTGCTCAAGGCGTTCAGTCCTGTTACTACAGTAGCTGAGGTTGTCGCCAAGCATGTGGCGGCCAGGTAAAGAGCCGACACCGTGTTGGTGCGGGCAAGCAGCACAAAGGCAACAAGGCACGCCGCCACGCCAATCCTGACCGAGAGCAAGGGCGGCAGCCTGCGGGTAACGCCGCCTTGCAAGATCGAGGAAACCAAGCCAACGTAGCCCAGCAGCTTTCCGTTGTTTGCAGAGCTGTACCCGAACAGGTCATATGTCATGAAGGGCAAGGAGAACTCCATGCCGGAGAAGAAGAGAAGGAACGTCATGTGTACGAGGTTGAGGAGGAAGTGCGAGTTCGTCCTCTGGGCAGCAGCCGGGGGCGGGGCGGGCTTGCCCGACTTCTTCTCGGCGGCAAGCAAAGCTTCCGTCTTGGTCAACGACGGAAGCGTCTCCGGCAGGTTGAAATACAGATACAGCGTTTCTGTGAGGATCAGGAAGAGCGACACTCCAGCGGCAGTCGCAAAAGGATTGGCGGCCACGGTTCCGATGGAACTGAGCCAGGCGCCCAGCGCGGGACCGAATGTGAAGGCAATAGAGAAGCATGCGCCGATGAGAGCCATGGTGGATCCTCGGCTGTTCGAATCCGAGATGTCGGTGGCGATTGCTGTGGCCATCTGTACATTGCCCTCAGACAGTCCGCCGACGATGCGCGAGGCCAGAAAGGTGCGGAAATCCACGGCCACTACCCACAGTAGCACCGACAAGATATTGCCGGCCATGCTGGCGAGCAGCGCCTTGCGTCGGCCATACTTGTCTGAGAGGTGGCCGATGAAAGGCGAGGCAACTGCCTGGAGCAGCCTGAAGAGAGGAGAGGCCTGTTAGAAACCGAGACAAAGAGGGGAAGGGCTGAGAGGGGTGGGGGGGGGGGGGGGCGAGGGTGTTTGCGTACGAGAAGAGACTCCCTAATGCGCCGCCCAGCAGAACAATATCGTATCGCGAGTCAATTGGCCTCGCAAAGGCAGCCTTATATGCGTTGAGATAGCCCAGAATGCTTGAGAGCAGAGTCTTGGATGGCGGAGCGGAAGCGTCGAGCGGGGCCTCGACGTTGCGATAGAACTCGAGCAGGGCCGGGAACAGAGGTAGGATGAAGGTGAAGGAGATCTAATGCGACAGTCAGCCGGTCAGCCGCGCTCTTGGACGCCCAGCGAGCAACAGATGGGGGCAGAACGCTCCACGTACCAGGTCGAGAAGCAGGGAGATGAAGATGACTTTCAAGACCCTCTTGCGGGTGGCAGCATCGACTGGTGGCGCCATCCCTGCGGCCGAGCCGGGTGAGGGGTGGAAGGAGGGGACGGGGTAAGGGATTGATGACGAGGATGACGATGACGCGGACAGCCTCGCGAACTTGGGACTCGGCGAAAAATGAACGATGATCTACAATCTACCACGGCCAGCACGTATAGACAAGAACACGGGGACAAGGGAAGTATAAACAAGAAGACAGAATAGAGTTGACCAGCAAGGGAAGGATTCAATTGTCGACAGAACCGACGGCTAATGAAACGGCAAGAAAAAAAACGGCGGAGCTTGGAGCTGTCAGAACAACGTGTTGTGTTTCCAGCCTCAGCTGGTGTGGCACAAGCTCCCTCCATCCGACACCCGTACCCGCTGGGACCTGCAGGTCCCCCACCCCACTATCAATTTAGTGTAGATACATTCCCAATTATCCCGTATTCCGCCGTACCTGCCTTTTACCACTGGAACTTACCACGTAAATTGAAAGCAACCCAGTACATTAATTGATACTATCCAGCTGACGGCTGCGAGATCCGACTTCCTGGTCATGGACTGGCCACATATTTCGAAACCCATTTGCACCACGTTTTTCGACGTCTTTGAGGTTGCTTGGCGCTCCGGCCAATGGTTTTTTCATCCGCTGCGTGCTTCGGTGGATCCCACACGCGAGACAAAATTACCGCCATCATCCTCCTTGGCAAGGCGGCGACTGGGTTCTCCAGGTTTTGACGTCGGTCGCGCTACGGGTTACGGGGGGGCTTCTTGGCACGTCGGACAGCGCCCGAACTCAACGACACTTTAAAACAAACTACGTCCCGGCCCGAGTGAACCGGAGCCGTCTCGAGATGGGACGAGGGAGGCCTTCATCGGACACCAGCATGTCGAAAGACACACCTACACTTTGCCGAAACACAAGGGCTCTTTGTTCTTTTCTTATTTTCTTGTTCTTTTTTTTTTTCTTTTTCGCCTTGCATCACTTCCTCCCCATTACCGAGTAACGAGGCAGTGACGCTGGGCCCCTGCCATGGGAAGAATCCTGGAAGTTCGGCGGCGGGTGTTTTGCGGCTCATCGCTCCCTCCTGCCATGGCCTTGGATTCGATACAACCACTTGCGACAATTTCTCAGCATCATGATGGTCCTCAAGATGAGCTCCTTATTCTACACTCACCGATCCATGCCGCGAGTTCCTTCCACACCATCATCTTTCGCATCAAGCGACGGCTGCTCAGCTCGGCTCAGTTCATCGGGATGCTCAGCGCCGCATTTCCTCCTTTTGCACATTACCAATTATTATATCGCCCTCCCACGTGCCTCCATCTCTCCCTCATTGACGACCTTTGGCCGGTTCTCGCGAGCTAACCCCCAGGTAGGAGAGATGACTCAAGTCGAATCACCTTACGTCACTGGCCTGGTCATTCTCGCAGTCGAGACGGGACTCTGGCTCGAGTCTGGCAGCTGCTCGGAAATGGCGTGATGGACGAGCCGATATACGTGCAGCTTGCGCATGTCAGTCAAGGGCACATACACGCCATCTGAAGCTTTTAACTCATCATCCTCCTCGTATTTTCATTTGGATGCAGGAACGCATCGAAGCGCTCCACATATGTCATGGAAAGTTGCGCATCGCGTACGTATCTGACACACTTGAGCTACCTGCACTAGTACCTTAGTCCCCCGAGCCCACGCGCAAGGGGAAAAGGGGGGGGCACCATGCAGTGGCCGATCAAAACCTTAATTCGAGGCCATCGGGAGAAGCCCCTGGAGCCATCATTTCTGTCCTGCATACATGTCTTGCATATCTCATATCCAAGTGCAGGTCGATCAGGTCCGTCGGTCAACAAGCGTTGGTCCGTCAAGGTGCCGGTATATACACCACCTCCCTAGACATCGTAGACAGCTTACACCATAGATCCAGACGGCGAGTTGAGGGACAGTCGTCTCTCCTTTAGCCGCCTTGATCGGCATGACCCAGCACCTCTCGCCCCCGGATCTTGATGCTTCGCCCTCTCTATCGGTGCTCGAAAGTCCAAGTCAGCAAGCGGCGAGATGTAGACCTAGCCGATTCCCCCCCCTCTCCTCCCTGACTCCGTCATGCTCATGGGAGTCTAGTCTGGGATTCAAGCTATCGACTAGACGCTTGGTAAGCTCCCCCCCTTTTCTGCCCTTGCTGAATGTGTATATTACAGGATCGGCCACCCCAACTTGGACTGTTTACATTGTCTCCATCCTACCTCAGTCCCCGTGTCACTGGCATCCTATTGTCCTTTTATTCCTTATTTGACTGCCTGGTAGACCTACTATCGAGAACTTCACCGTCGACGGAATACCGACGAGAGCCAGTCCTTCACGAAGCCCAAGATGAAGATTTACACGGCCGCACTCGTCACCTTTGCTGCCTATGCGGTAGCAGATGGGGAGACGCCACGATCTTCCTCGTGGGCACCAGGAAAATACTCATGGCCATCCGGAGTAGCCCGGCCTTCAGGCGCAGCAGGCTGGGCACCGGCGAAGCCGTCCTACTGGTCGACGAGCACCATCTACTCAACCAGCATCCACACAGTGACCAGCTGTGGTCCGACTGTGACGAGCTGCCCGGCTCACAGCACTGTTGAGACCACCGTCATCATCCCCGTCAGCACCACCATCTGTCCCGTCACAGAGTCTCCCCATCCCGCCCCGGCAGTCGCACCGCCTGCCTCGGTTGCGACCCCTCCACCACCCCCGGCGCCAGCGGTTCCGGCGCCGAGCTGGTCCTCGAGACCCAGTGTCTACGCCCCACCAGCTCCGTCTCACCCTGTTGCCTCTCAAGCCCCGGCCCCAGCTCCCGTCTGGTCCTCAAAGCCCAGCGTCTACGCTCCGCCAGCTCCGTCGCACCATGTAGCCCCTCAAGCCCCGGCTGCGGCCCCGGTCTGGTCCTCGAGGCCCAGTGTCTACGCCCCACCAGCTCCGTCACACCCTGTTGCCTCTCAAGCCCCGGCCCCAGCTCCCGTCTGGTCCTCAAAGCCCAGCGTCTACGCTCCGCCAGCTCCGTCGCACCCTGTAGCCCCTCAAGCCCCGGC